TTATTTTTTAAGTCTTTCATGAGACGCCAATATTTATTTGGGTTCACGTTATCAGATTCTCAAGTTTTACTTAATATATTACTTTTAAATTCTCTTGGTTTCTTTTTTACCAGGTTTTTAGACTTTTTTCAGGCATTTTTTTATAGCATTTGAGTCTCAGTTGTTTATTGTATGGTTCCTAGCTTAGCTTGTTTGATAGTTTGTATACATCATTTTTCATGGTGAAAAGATCCTTTGTGTACCATTTAGAATTTTTATTTTTTTGTTTCTTTTTTGTATTAGTTTTACTTTTATATTTTTTCTTTAAACTTTTACCAGCTGCCTCTAAATATATATTTGTCAACATAGCACCCGCAGTATCAATTGACTGCTTTGAAAGATTAAATATTTCTTTGTTAAATTTATTTCTAAGTGATAAAGAATCTTTACTTTGTAAAGCATTATAAAAGTTATAGTGTGAGTCCCATCCCATAAATAAGAAATATTTGATTGCTGACTGTTGTCATTAGAATGTGATACAATGTTGTTAGATATTGCATTAGTATCCAGTCTAAAAGAGATCTGACAATGATCAGATAGGGTCAGATTTAAAGGATGGATACAAAACTGGCTTATTTTGTTGTAAATAGCATGACTAACAATAGTGTAGTCCACTGTGCTGCTGCCTCTACTCTGATGGCATGTATACGAATATAACCAGGGACACGCCAGTGAACTATGGGTTGTGAAAGTTTTTACGACGCCATTTTGAAAGCCATGCACTTGGTACAAAATAGGATATATAAACTCAATGTATTATTTATTATGTATTTGGTCATTTTGAATAAGATGGCGAACGTGTCCAACAAGTACGGAGATAAAATTAGCTGCATTCGATCTCGCGGCGGCGAACTGAATTCATTATAATCATATAGGCAAAGCGGAGCTGCTAAAACTTCCCTCGTTCTGGCATACAGACAGTGTACATCTAAAGGGGTAATCATGTCTTGCCTAAATTTCAATATTTACCTTCAAAAGCATAGTGCTCAGATCAGTGCCATTGTATCTGTGATATAAAGTCATGTTGTCATCGCTCGGTACAGAGGGACATTTCATAGCTTTGTAATCCCTAATCACAGACTGTCGATAGAGGGCGCTATATATCACAATATGGAAAATTGGAATCAAATACTAAAAAAAGTAAAACTCAGACTATCTGAGTTTTATATTCAAAGATGGAGAGAAAAACTAAATTTCAGTGAAACCAATGAAAATAGGGGAACAAAACTGAGAACATACAAACTATTCAAAGTAAGCTATAATATGGAAAATTATTTGCAAAACATTTCAAATTTCAGTCTCAGGAAAATGCTTTCAAAATTC